CGGCTCGCTTTCAATCGACTACACGGAAAAATGCTGGGAACGAACACCGTTCGCTTTAATTCCCGCAAGAATAGCCTTGCTCTCTTATTCACGTTCGGATTAAGTTTCATCGTTATTTCCTCGTTTACACATCTTTTTCACTGGCTCGTCCCCGAACGAAACATTAGATTCCCTTTAGATTTATCGTTTATTTTTTCAGATATGTCAAGTGCTGAGTCGAATTACAGTAGAAGCTGGTGGCAGAGCAACATCTTGTTTGACGACTCTGGCAAAAGATCGTACGAGCTATCTGGTCGAAAAGTTTTCCTGTAAATCGCGGCATAATTTGCTTACGACTTTAATCGACACGAGAAACTACCGTCGCTCGCTGGAAACTTGGCGAGAACGTAAATTGTAATTAAAGCTCCGTTCAATTAAGACGCAAGGTGTAATTCAAGATCACCATAAACGATCCTCTCCTCTACGCTGCTCGTTAATGGATATTCCATGAGGGTTCAGTACGAATGTTTATCCTGATTTATTAAAACTATCCTTTATGATTTAAACGATGGGCCATCGATGGCTACTTCGTTTTCCACGGGATATTAAATTCCTTTCCGATTAATTGGTCAACCTTCAACAATCCGAAGATGGTCGATCTGGTAATGAAAGATTCCCCTTTTAATTTGTACAACTGGAACTGCAATACAATGAATTGCAAAAGTCATTCATGGTATCTCAATTACCTAATGACCGGCCATGCATGCAAAGTTATATTATATTTGTAACGGGAAATGAGAAATGAGAAATGAGAAATGAGAACTGACATTTTTTCGTTTGCTAATCGCCTTTGAGAAAGTTGAAAAAAAAGAAAAAAAAAGAAGGGGAAAAATGTAACGAGCTTAATCGATTGGTCGGAGAATATAAGTAGCATTCCAAGCGAACAACTTCTTGGTGCAATGCTTCTTTTCAGCCACGCGAAAAGCTTCTTACGTTCTTATTTTCGCGATCATTCCTCTCGTCTATCCCCTTCGTTTCCTTTATACTTTATACGATCAACTTTCTCGTTCCTTCAAGCGTGACCTCGATATTCTCCAGCCCTTTTCCACCATTCAAATGGCATTTTGACCGGAAAGCGTTGAGCGGGACGAATGTCAAAAGAATTTCCATTCTTTACTTCCCCACTGTTTGCAAATAAATTTTTCAGTCAAGTCCAACGGAAATCAAGCCTTTATTGCTCACGATTGAAAATCAATTTTCATTCGTATAATTTGAAGAAAGAATTTCAATTCGCGGGTAAACGTTTCAGTCGTACGGTATAAAATGGAAATTTGTCAAGCTTTCTTCAACTTCGGACACGGTATCGAAGTTTATAATCCTTCTACAGTCGTACAGGTTAGTTCAAGTTTGGGAACATTATGATTCGAGCATTATGAAGTTGAGAATTGGGAAGTTGAGAAGGCACAAGTTGAATCTTGAAATATGAGCACTGTAAACTTATGATTTTAAGTTTGACTAATTCAAGTTTCAAATTATCCTTGTAGTTCTAAGACATTTACCATTGTTTTAAGACGTTCGCTGATAACCAGCTACTTATACATACAATAATATTCACCTATAAATCGATTATCTAGTACCTATTCTAATTTGGAAGAAGGAAACGAATAGTACAGTGAAGTATGTAAATTTCACTTTTATTTTTATACATTACTTGTACTAACTGGCAGACGTAGATACATACCCGTACATCTCATTTTTCTTTCTCTATTTGGAACAATCGTTTCGTAATGTAGAGCTTCACGAGCTTTCCTTCCTGATAAATCTCAGCATGCAAACTTCTTTCGCCTTGATTCTTCTTACATCTTTCTTTCGTTTGCTTTTTAACCGTATTTTCTATTTGGTGCTTTTTCCAAATGACCAGATACCTTCGATTCATTTTCTATCCTTGGCCATTCATCGTAGTTGCTTGAAAGCAAATTGGGATGGAAATCTGTCGTCTTATCGTGCACGATAATCGATGAATTCTGGCAGATGCACACCCTTAGCGTTGTATTTAGTTTGGACTGGGTCACGTGCTCCTTAATCAAACAGTCATGGAATGTTCTCGCGGCGCGGCATTTTCCGCGCTCTTGACAAGAATCGAGCGACCGAGAGGAAGAGGAGAGAAACGGGAGAAACGAAGAGAGAGATGATATAAGGCTGCCTTTTAATCAATGCCGGACCTCCTGCTCCGCTTGAATTATTCAACCCAGACTCGACTATTCGAGGGTCACGAAATATTCTCAAGTTCGTGTAGATTCCCCTCTAAAGGCCATTGGTCCCTTACTTCCTCTGCTCTACAACCCCAAACGCTCTCGAGTTTTTCTCTTTGCTCCCAGTATTGGAGTGTTCATCGAATTATTGATTCACCGATAACAGCGATTGCTGCAATCCTTTTGATCGCGGTGTTGACCATGCGTGAGGTTATAACCTCATTGACCATGCTAAATTCATTTAGGAGGCTATATATGTAGACATTATTTGAAATTCTTTATAGATACGTAGTACTTTCTTTCAGAAACATGGACGTTATTACGTTGAAACGAGTCGGTTGAATTTTTCAAATCTTTCAACCCTAACCTTGTTTTCCTCGCCGATTTTTTATTACATTTGTCCTCGAGTCGTAGAGTCTTTTTTAAACAGCGTCGTGTTGAAAGAGAATGTGGTTCCTCGAACCATTAGCAAAATTTGAAGAGCAAACGACGAGCAAACGTTTGCTTTCCTTCCATGTAGAGCGTAGACTGTTACAGAAGCTCGAAAGAGCACGATTCGCGAGAAGTCAAGGGAAATCTCCATGTTTCCGCGATCGGAAGACAAATTAACCAACGCTCTGAACCAACTTAAAAAGAAAACAATTTTCCAAAGAAGTAGTATCTGAACAATTTTCCTTTTCCTTTTTCTTTTTGGTTAATTCCAATTCTAAATGGTCTACGTGTGGTTTATACGATATGTATCTTTTATCTACCTCCAAATCAGTAGCCCTCACTCCAAGGTTCTAAGGGAATAATTTTGCTGGTAGCGGCGTATCGAGATAAGTAGCTTCATTATTTTTCTCGTTAGTAAGATGCCCGGTGAGTTAAACGAGAGCTCTCTCCACGATCAACTATTATATGATAAACGCACGATTCCAGCTTCCCGTTGGACCAAGGGGAGAAGAAAATTATCCCGCGACAGGAATATCGGCCAGGAAAATATTGTACGTTTACGAAGGCTTAAGGCCTTAAGCGGCGTGTCGGTGAATTATTGGGCAGGGAAATCGAGCGTAGCGGGGTGCAAATCGAGAATAACCATCTCTATGTAAATCCGGATATAATTCCTGCCGTGATTCATAAGATATACGTCGTTGACGTCCTGACTCCGCTATCTTACGTTGAATTTCATGACTCTGCATGAATTTCATGAAAAATAATTAGACTATTCGAGAACGTTTCGCACGAAAACGGTCCCCTGGAAATAACGAACGCCATGCCGAGTTTTTTTCTTCCACTTGGAAGATTACCGAAAAGTTATCTATCGCTAGAGAGCAATTTTACTTTAGCTGATCGTCAAAGACGTCTTTGCCGTAACTATTAGAAAATGATTGTAAAAAATTCACATATTTTATTTTAATTCAACGATATTGCTAAATTGATCATTTGAAATTGCTCGTCTAAAGCAAATGCCTTCTCGTTTATATTCTCAATTCAAATGAATGCAGCAAAAAATCGTTCCCCAGGCTTTCCCGTTTTAATCTATTATACATTCTACGCATACATATTCGACTGCTGTTTATTTTCTTAATATTTCCGTTTTTTTCATTCAAGAATATTTTCGTTAACAATACTACAGTAGCGTAGTTTTGTAAAACCGATTGATAATCAGGGGATTAGTTCATTCTTTGTATATCAGCTTATCAGCTTTGTTGCGATCTTTGCTGCCAATATTTAATCCAGTTTTAGTGAAATCATCAAATATTTCCTTGACGTTTCTATCTTTTTCTTCTTGCTTCAGCTAAACTAATATTGCGTTGAGAAAAATTGAAGAACCAGGTCATAGATCAGTCGGAAATTCATTTGTCGACTTTGCACCCGTTTAATCAGAAGACGGTTTTAAATACTTGATGCATTTCCGTTCCAACAATAAATCCCACGGGCGAACTTTCCTTCCTGGTTCTTGCAACGTCCGAGTTTTATAAAAATTGAACAACACGTGGAGTTTCGACCGCCACGTTACCGCAAAAACCATATTCTACATATAAAGACTTATTTAGAAATTTTTCAAATCAGCAACACATATTTTATCAGGTTGCCTGTGCTGATTTCTGGTAACTCGATGCTAAATATCGATTATCGGATCATTAAAATATGTTTTTCTCCGTGCTAAATATCAAATTACAAGAAATACGATGCATTTTCACATTGTGATTTAAAAATTTAATTTAAACTCTCATTTACAACCGTATTCCTTTAATAAATAGTACATACTCTTGGTTAAATATTTTACATCACGTTTTACTTGTACCCTTTTTTCTCAGTGATGTAGTGAAATTAAATAACTAAACTTTAGCTCGTTAAATGTAAACAGAATCGAAAAACGTCCTTTTTTATATAATTATATGCATAGTACATAGATACATAGTTGTACCCTTTTCTACTTGTATCTCCGTCGCGACGCGTCGCGTCGCGTCGCGTCGCGCCGCGCCGCTTCGCGCTTATCAGTGCGGTAGTAGTGGGGTAGAAAGAGTTTGCGGGTTGGGGGGCGCTAGCGGCCCGGCATTAGTTCGAGCTGCTGTCGGCGTAGTAGTACGTTTCGAGCGCTGATCGAGCTAATACCTGCGTGTTCGGAAATCTTCGTTAACGTGTCGACGGTTCGTGACACGTGACTTGACTGACTGTTTCGCGACAAATTTGACGCGAAACATTCCATGTGACAATCGCTCGCGAGATTACAATATTTTCCGTGATTTTCTTTGCTCCTCTGGTATATGTGATCTCTCGTGACAGGCTGAAGGCAACATCCGAAGGAAGTTGAAGCTGCTCGTTTTCACAAAACCATTGGAAACGATGACTGCGACGATGCTGAGCTCTGCCCGACGATGCTGGAAATAACATCGGCTATTGGTGGTGAGTAGGTACATTTAAGAATATATCTCAACTTTGCTTCAGAGGAAAGCAAGTGGAAAGTAGGTATTTATTAAGTAGATATAGTGTTTAAGTATTTAAAAAGACAGATGAGATTTGCCGTTTGGCGGTCGCCTTTGGCAGTGCGTCAAATTAAAAATATTTCAAAATATCTCTGACATTGAAATTAAGCCTGAACTCGAAATTGATATTTTTGCATTATATTTGATACGTAGTGTTGATTAATAGAAATTTACGGTGAAAAGATTGCTTCCCTCTCACTCAGGTAAAGTTTAACTAATCGTAAATAAAAGAATATTTTACGGGGAAGATGTGTATCACGTGATGTGGTCACGAGGTCATCTGATCAAAATGGCCGATGTTTTCAAGTGCTCATTTCATCAATCATTTTAAGTAGAAAGTTAAATAAAAATAAAGCATGCTAAATAGAGAACATATTACATATATGGGAAATATTATATTGATAATATAATAATTGATTTCTATGATATTAACTTTTTTTAATAATATCATGATAGATTTTAAGTATCGTTGATAGGTAGAAATTAATTTTTAGAATAGAAATGAAAACGTTGATTTATTGCAAATTTTCTTGAAAAAACGTTTGTCCTTCTATTCAGGAATAGATTTCGTTTGATAATGAAACGTGTACGAAAGTTAAATAACTTTTCAAGTGAAAATGCAATTCGGTAAACGTTAACTCTAATTGCGTATCTCCTGAACTAGGAACCGGTTACAATGCAATTTTTCTAATATGCCAAGCCGTCAAGCTACTCCATCATAGTCAGCCTTATTGATCACCGATCTGCACAATATGTAATCCACGCGAGCTTTAAGCGTTTCGCACGCAAGCTCGCCATCCAAACTGAGCTTAACGTCTCATTTCGAGAAAGAGCCATGTTGTCCGGGAATGATAATTTTTCGCTCTCTCCTCGATCATCCTTGTAAACAGAGGGGATGTTATTTTGTAAAATGTACAATAGAAGAAGAAGAACCTCTTATTATTTTCATTTCTAAACAATTTATCGTGTAATGGATTCTATAATATAACGCTGCTAATTTTTCATTTCACTTATTATTTAACGAAAATTTTTCTGAAATATTATTGCGTAGAGAATGTTTAGTAATTGCTTAGTAGTAGGGAATGGTAAATTAGGCGACTTTTCAAGCAATCTGCTCGCCAACAGGTGGAGAGCTATTAAAACGGAACGACGCTGTAACTACGCGACACGCAGCGATCGACTCTGCCGTTGCTAAATTATTGAATTAAGTGCGTCGAGACGCGCTACTAGAACACGGACGAGAAGGATTTTAATCAGCGTAATATCGAGAAAATAATGGGGGTTGTTTGTTCGGACTCTATTTACTAGCTATTTATCATTATAACCTGTAAAATATCACGTGGCAGAATTGTATGGAAATCGGCCTGTGGCAGTTGGCTGATTCTCCTTGTTACCTGAATACCTGAATACTCGGCTAGATCCTTGACAGTTCAGTCCCCGAGCGACCAGATGCTAAATTGTAACTAACTTTCTTGATATCTAGCTACTTACAATTAGTTGGAAACTACCTGCCCGATAATTAGACCCTTGATAGCCGCATCTTCGGTAATTAAACTCTTCGCATTTACGCCTTTGATAAACTAACAAGTGACAAGTTGACTTTATCGCACGATGGTTTCAACCATTCTCAAAACCTTGAATCTTTTTCTTTTACTTTTTTTAACATTAAAATTATAAGGAAATTTTCACCTATCGTGCGTTTTCTTCATAGGTATCTACATACATACATATGTATGTATATTCAATACTGCTATTGCCAATATCTGTTCGTTTGTCAAACAATCTACAATACTACATACGTACATACGGCTAGGAAATTTATTTGTTCGACACAACGAACCGTTCGGATTGGAGATTAATTTTGTCAACTGTGTAACAATTTGCTATCGCGCGACACGGAATTGATTTAACGGAAGAGAGGCAAGACAGTTCAATTCCGGGAATATCAGGACGCGTTTCCCTGACGAAAATTGAGCATGCGGCAAAAGTGATTAATTTTACGTGGTTCCGGATGATAGATCGATTATCTCTCAGCATACACGACCGTTCATTCGTTGCAGCACGAATTCAATTAAAAGTAGCTACGTGATGTTCGTTGAACGGATTCCGCTGCCCGAAAATATTCCTTTGTGAATCGTATAATTGACTAAACGGACCTGTCCGTTTTAATGTTATACCTATTAATAACAATACTACTTAGCATATGAAATTCCTGTCGATGTTGAAAATTCTTTGATCAATTTCAATTCGACAGTTTCACTATTCAAATATGTTATCATTCGCAACCCTCTTCTTCCAACTATTTATCGGAAGGAATCGAAACTGTGTTTCACTGGAGGTGGTAACACACAGGTGAAACGTGTAACGTGTGCCAGTTGTTTACCTTTGATTTTAGAACAAGCTTCGAGGAAGAAGAAAATAATGTAGCGTTTAACGAGGTATCGTCAAGTAGAAACGGAATGGGAATGGGTGACTAATAAAGTCCGGGATTAATATTTAGGTCGTTGGAAACGAGATTATTTCTGGGTCAATGTGATTTCGAAATTTATATCGTTCGTTTTCTAAGTAAGTTGTTTCATTTATCTGGTTACCTATAATTCAAAGATGAATTATAAAAATTTATACATATAGAGAAAGAACAAGTGCGTTTTAAATCCCTTTTTTCTTAAGTTATTCTAAATGTAATAATATACGATTAATTAGGAATAAAATCCTGGTCTTGGAAAATGTTCATTAGGTATCTACTTAAGATTTAAACAATGAAATTTCCAAAAGTTTACGTGTAATCCTATTATGTATCGTGTAGGAAGAATTAATCATCGAAACGTTCGTTCGGAAATTCGAACGAATAGCTGTCGAATTAGCCGCAGTTAGAGAAAAGAATCAAGATTGAAAGAGAAACTGTGTGGTGAGGACGGAGAGAAAAAGAGGCAGGACAAAGGTCACGGAAGCAGGAAGGAAACGATGAAAAAGAGGTTGGAGTAGACGGAGCAGAAACGAAGGCAATTGGTCGGAGCCGGTCGTGTAACTAACTCGGCCTACCTACCGGTCACGTAGAATCAGACAAGATTCATTGAAAATCTGTACTCGTGCCTGGGGGATGATACAAAATTCTGGTCTTCTTCCGGGGTAATTGAATCCTGCTGCCACCCCTTACCACCCCTTACCACCCCTTACCACGGACAGCCGCCTCTCTCGCGTCTCATTCAACGGACCCTGAAACGACGGGGAACACACAGTCGTTGCTTTCCGCCTTTATTTATTTTCCATCCGCCTTGCTTCACGATAAGACAGAAGTAATATCTTGCTACAGGTGGCTGAATGTATGTATGTAAATACATACATATATCGTCAATATATCCTCGCTAAAGTATTTCTACCGACATTATGGACATTTGTTACGAACAAAATAGTGTATAACTCTTTCGTTTAATCTATCCCGTCAGTGTCGCCATACAACAAGCGACGTTTCGTTTGCAAAAGAATTATCAAGCAGTCGACGGATCGCGTGTTTTCTAATTGGATATCTACGCCATGAATTATCTGTTCACGGCGCGACGGGTCATGACGTGGTAAATGAAAATTTCAAAGGTTTAATTTCATTTCTGATTGTTTTTCTCCGCCGTGCCCCGCCGCGCCTCGCCTCGTCGTTTATCGCTCAGCCATCCTACAAATATATAGGTAAATATCCCTGCTCAAATTATTAATTTAGCATCTCGATTAATTTATCACCCTTAATGGTCTATTTTACGTCATACACAGAGATATGGTTAAACAAGATTAAGTGTACCGCATAATTTGCATATTATTCGCGATATTTCCCTGCTGTCCAAATTGTGAATTTTATTTCAAAAATATAACAACTTATATGAAACAGTATGACAGCTCTCTGAAGTTAAGGAACACAAACATCTACTTAATGGGAATTCAAATGAGCGAGGACAGCTTATGCGATTTACATATCAAAGATATTAATTAGTCCAGGCTTGCGAATGATCGTAATAAATAAAACGTGGAATGGTAATCGGGCTAACTGCCCGTTGAAACTCGATTCGTTACATCTAGGTATTATCTACGTTATTGGAAACATTTCATGGTTCCATTCGTGCTTCCAAAATATCATTTTTTAGTTTGTTTGTGAAACAACTTTTCTTTCTTCGGCAAAATTTCAAATCCCACTTTCATTCAACGAAAAGTTGACTACATACTTGAATACTTTTTTTTTTCCACCTTAAAAGAAAAATGATCGATAGTGGTTAATTCGGTGTATGTACATACATACATACGTAAATACATACATACATACATACAGGTTCAGGTTATTCGTTGTAACTTTGGAAACAAGCTTGTTTCCAGTGTCTACAAAAATGTAGTATTATAACACGTTTTATATTTCTCTCGTTTCACCAGTACCGTTCACCTTTGTTCACGCGTTTTCCACTGTGTTCGCGTGTAAACGTAATTTCATCGAAATCGATAGAGATATAAATAATCATTTATCCGCGTTTCTTCGTTGGTGGTTCGTTTTACATACATACATACACATATATTGTAAATCAAACTCCAGCTGCAGATTTAACGCATTATAGTCATTATAGTCATTCATCGAAGATTAATCCTTAGCGCAGGACGCAAAGTCAGTCGCAGGATCGACAAAGTAAATTAATTGTCCGAGGTTGAAACGAGATATGTCTACCGGTGAAATTTCTTCCGGTTAATTTATCGCTCGTCAATACGTTGCGCAACTAACGATCCTTCTACATATAAGCAGACGCACGCACGAGGGTTAATCTGATGCACCTGCACGTCCAAGATTAAATTAATCCACGTTCAGCTTTTCTTAAGCTTGGCTCTATCAGGGAATCCTGCAGAGCGCCCAGGATTTGTCGAGAAAATAGAAAGGAGACCGGAGAACGGAGAAAACCCTTGTAATTTGCTTTCCGTGTACATACATACTCTCAACAAGATACACTCGTAACTCTTAAATAGATAAAAATATTTTAATATAATTGTTTAGTATACATACCTAACAAAAGGGATACATATTTGTTCATAGGTACCTACCAAAAAAGTAAACGAGAAACACCATCTTGCACTCGATTCCTCGGATACAAATACCATTCTTATTACTCGCATGATTTTATTTTTATTACTTTCTATTTCTTCAAATTGTATTTCTAAAAATATTTCTTTTTTTTTCAACCGTACAATGTCAATTTCCAACCCGTTCGTTCCACGAGGTGAAACTTTGTTGTTGAAAATTTTAAACGTAACCTGTACGAATTTCAAGAGGTTTGTGCAAATGAAAAGGTTGAGTAAACAATAGAGAAAAAATATGGACAGAATTCTTTCTTTTTATCTTGCTTCTATTTATTAACGAGTCTTTCGTTATTGTTTCGTTAGCCAGCCTAATTAAATTTATTATCGCGTAGCATCGCTCGCAAACACGTTCTAATTTTCCGGAGAAGGTACAGAGAGAAGCCAAGACCAGGCTAGGCTAGAACAGACCAGCTAGCCAGCCAGGATTGCGGAGTCTCATTACCCGGAGAATTTATAAAATCCTCTATTGGTTATAATGAGAATACGTGTTTGCGCCTCAAAGGAACGTGCTCCAATTACGCAAACACCGGTACACGTATCGTATCTTTTGGAAAGTCCATTGAGTGCGCCATTTAGAAAATAAGGTGTATAGATATACCTATTAATTAATTTACATCTCACCGTTTACATCCGAACGAATCTATACCATTTCCTGCACGAGACTCTCTACTTATGGTTAATGAAACTCGTTGCAAATCTACGAAACCATCGCATCGAGAGATCTGTATTGTTATATTGTTGAAATACATCCTTGAACATCCTTGTAATAGAGGAGAGAAGAAATTGATTTAAACTGAATCGAACGAAGAAAGCGTAGAAAAGTTACTTACTGTAAAGTTTAAAGCGCGTTATAATTAAGCTTCAACAGAGGCGAATCATTCGATTACCGAGAACATTGCAGCATTTACTATCTTAAATGGATCCAAGTTCATTTAATTTATGATTAAGTTTCTGCTTATTCAACTTGCAACAAGTTTTCGTAAACGAAACCTCGATTCTGTTTCTTTCTTTATTGTTGCTCGATTAAAGTTGTTGGACTGGTTCCTGACCAGGTTTATAGGTGCATTAATTTTCAAGCAATCTTTTAAATATGCTATAATAACGTTTAATTCCAATTGGGTAATCGCAACTTTCGATTCTCTTATACGTTTCGACCCGCGCACGCGTTCTTCGCAAACGTGTTGCCGATAAAATCAACGGTTTTTCTTCGGTTTGCGGGTTTTACGAGAAAACGGTCAGCATTCAGCTACACCGCTGGTGAAGTGGTCCATATAAAGGAAAGCAGGAAGACGATGAACCGGCAAGTGGTGTGTCCAGCAAAGTGGAGCCGCGTGAAAGCCGCCTTTTTATTGTCACGCTCGCTCTTTTGGCTGCACCCTCTTCAATGAACACTTCCTATCGTGATCGTCGTCGCGACCCAAGTCAGAACGCTTTCATCGCGATGATACTGAACGCGATGCGACGCGACGCGACGCGCTTTCACAGTTTCACTCGACGAGAAATTTTCTGGGAATTGCAATAGTGAAAGAATCGTAACTACCTTAGAAAATGACGTTGAATGTCTATGATAAATACGATTTGTTAATGGTACAAAGTTCCAGCAGTGTTGCAGCAGCACTATTGTTAAAAGATTTCCCTTGCCGTGCAACGGTACATGGTAAATAAAGCAGCAGATTACCTAACAACATTTTCTCGGCCTCTCTTTTTGTCGTTATTCGCAGCCGTAGCTACTTAATTATAAGAAAACGGCGACGAGTCGTTATTTTTGCATTAGAGTATAAAAAGAGAAAATAATTTTCCTTCAACGATAAATTCATTCTTGCAATGGAAAAGAGCAGGAAGAAAAATCGTTAATTACGTTTCGTCGGGTGAACTAGAGAAAATCGGTATGCATAGAGGTGCGTGGCTAAGAAACACGCCAATTAAAAACGTGCTTGCAGAGCTGATAAACAATTCCCAGGGGAAATTCAGTAATTTGTTTACCAAATTAGCTGTGTGTCCTATCTCGATCGTAGTCAGTGCTGTTTCATGTTGAATACAAATCCAGTTTGCAATTAGAAACGATTAAACGATCCAGCCTTGCACTATGAAGAATCAAATCGTTAGCTTGTTTGTATCTGTCGTTTCGTTAGCGGTTCGTTCGGAATTCGTAACACTTGTTGTTGGATTGTAGGTGTGTAGGTATATGTTATTTTAAATCGTTGCACGGAACCTTTTCAACCTTCGTTTTCAGATAGTCATAGTCCTTTGCTTGTATTTGCTGTCTCGAGCAGCAAAGATATTGCTCTGCTGTATTATCTGTGACAACAGTGCTCTTCTGTTTCCTTATCTTTCGGGAACAAACAGGGTTCCATTGGGTCGAAAATAATGCTACTATCGCTGCTTGCACCGAGTCTATTGTACTTGGGTGTGTTAACAAAAAGAAAAATGAAAAAAAAAAAAAGAAAAAAAAAGGAAAAACATTTGGTGCTTACTGTATCGAGAGAAAGATGCTTAGTAGACGTTTTTCTTTCTTTACTACCTACTATCTGTTTTGAAAAACAATCAGCAAGTTTGTAAACATGCTTTTATTAGTGTAGAAAGAATTCTTATTGTTCGAAAAATTGTTCTTTAATCGTTTCGTTGAAAAATGTTCTGTATGTATAGAAATGTGTAGAAATAGAAAGAATTACATAAATTTTCCCAGTCGTTTAAGAAATACAAAAGACGCATCGCGATAAACGTCGCGTATCGTAAATAAAAGGTATTTGTCCGCGAAACAGGGTAATAGTATTTTTCAAACAAATTAATTAATACGCCTGAGGTGGTCGTTGTCCCTGCTGGACACAGATAAATCGTTCATTTAATTGGATTGCCTTAACAATGCGGAAACGCAAGGAACTGTAAGGGATGAAATATTTAGCACTAGCTATGCGACTAATTAATGGAACCAGAGTACCTACAGTATAATAAACAGGAAGCAGTTCTTTCACTTTAATCTACTAATCATCTCGTACTTGCCTTCGAAGAATGAAAAGATTTTATTCATTCACCTATAAAATAATATTTATCAAAAGTAATTTCAAAATTTCAAAATTTCAAAATTTCAAAATTTCAAAATTTCCCTTCGTGACAAAGCTGCCACGACTCGTTTATAAATTTTCTGCTTGCTTTTCCAACAGCAGTTAAATTATAACTCGGAATCGAGCTTCTCAACGAAGCGCAAACAAAGCAACAGAGGGAAAGAGAGCCTTGTCGCCACAAAACATTTTCAGATGCGAGCTCCTGCTTGTTAACGGGGCAAATTTTATTTACATCCAATTAAAACGTAACTTTTCTTAAATGAAATACTTCCAATACCTAGCGCAATTTCGGTTCGCTCGATAAACTAGTAAAAACGTTTTGCGGCCTTGTGGAAGCAAACCTTTTGCGTACACGTTGCGACGAGTATACAAAAAAAAGAAGAATAAAAAAAAAATCATACAAAGAAAAAGTCAAAGAAACTTTGGAAAAGCTTTTTTAACGATTCAGGTCAGGACGAGAAAATGAAACGAGTTTTGGTCGTAGTGATGGCACAAGTTATTAACGATCATTTATCGATCCTATTCATTCAGCTATAGAATATCAATTTTCCAAAGCTTTTTCAATACTTTTTTTTCGTATAATTTTCATTGATTAAGGTCAAAGAGGTTAAATTTCAGTTACGTTCTCTATAAATTTATGTTACACCAAAGTTTTAGTATTTAGTATTTAAGTTATTGTTCTTAGGTCCACAATTGTTTCTTTTCCAGATAAACGCCACGAAGAATAACACCGCAAAAGTTATCTCGTCTCGAATCCGATCACAGCCAGTTCCTTTCATTTTGGTGACTGTTTTAATAGCCAGCCCAGCCAACCAGCCACGCAAAGTATTTCATTAGAAGGCCGGAGATCCTCGAGGAATATGGTAGGAACGAGGAAGTATGTCTTTCCTTACGTCGCGTGACTCGAATCCACGGATTTAGCTGAACCAGAAGCTTCTCTTTGACATTTCCTGGTCTGATTCCACGAGACAGCAGTTCCTTCGTCCTGGCGCGAAAGTAAAGTTTAATAAGCGTTGGCGAGCCGCAACAAGTTCGGTACACATGTTTCTGTACACCACAAGTCCAAGAAACTCGTATCACAGCATGAGAATCTCAGATTTAAGATTTCTATCAACGAACCAACGAAGGTAGTTGGTCTCTTTAGACAGCGAAATCCTCGTTGAAACGAAACTTGAGCCGATCCAGGGATGCATCCATCACGAAGTATCTCGTTCATCGAGTGCACGGATAAAGAAGATTTGAAAGAAGAGAAGAATACACTATCAGATGACAATGATGATGGAGTTTGATCGGATCTGGTGCACCGATCATGTAGATTGTAGTCTAGAACGTTGCTAGATCAATGCCAAGAATGACAATAACGTCGGATAACGTAGAAAAATAGCCAGGATGTGAATAGAATCGAGGATGGCAGTAGTGTCGTTTCAATAACGATGGGATATGTACGAGGAATATTTAAAACACATGAAAAAGAATTTGAAAAAGAATTCACGATGCTCGAAAAATCACTTGAAGTTGATCGACTCGAAGTTGACAATCGTATGTTTTCGAAAATGTAATTTTCACAAAGACAATTAAACTTTGCTCGAAATCATCATCCTACTCTATAAAGTTCCTAGGAAAAATGCAAAGGTTTAAGGAGGATCGACAAGATGGTGAAGAATCATTTGAAAGAAATATCACTTTATTGATCGTTTTCAAGGGCAGTAATGACCGGAGGACAGGGACGAGGTTTCGTTCGATTCATCGACTTGTGTAAAGCTCTCAGTGGAAAAGGCAACAGCCGTGTTCGTCGTCGAGTTTCAAAGAGTATGATACCAGTTTGATAACGTGAGTCAGAGACTCGACTCGAACGGTCACAAGTTGCTCGGTGTCCGTGTCGTCTGGCTCGACCAGCCGTGTTCATCCCCTCGTTTGGGGGTCGGTTGGTTGGTTGGTTGCTTGCGCTAGAGTCGAAAAAGGCTGGAAGAGTGAAGGGGTGGAAGGGGGGTGGGGGGAGGGGGGTAAGAAGACAAGAACGTAAGAGGTTAAAAGGAGAGAAAGAGAAGAGTAGAACGGGGTCTGTAACGTGAACGGGGAAGTTGAAGAAGAAGAGGTGGAGGTTGAGAAGGAAGGGACGGAGGGGGCGGAGGCGGTGGAGAGAGGACAAGCAGGGAAGTTTCCGTCTGTCCGAAGTGGATGGGGGTGAAAATGTTCGGAGTGTTGCTGGCATGTGTCTGGCTGGTTGCCGGCTCCCCGTTACATCCCTGGCCGCTAATACCACACAAAGGTAAGTGCCCGATCCACTCGTAATTTCTTATTGCTCCTTTTTCTTTTTTTTTTCTTTTTTTTCTTTTTTCCTGTATCGTGACGAGACCGCAACAGACGATTATGCGGTCGTTCGAGCTATTCTTTTTGAAGCTGAATAATTTTGTCGATAGTTCGCGTACAAAAGACCTTTTTATCAAATAGTTTTTCTTTAATATTATACGGAACATTTAAGACGGTTCAATTTATGAACTAGGTATACCTAATATCCTGTACGTACAATCGATTCACAATCGATTACAAATTTTAATTAAAATATAAGACCACCAAAGAAGTACTCGCACAGTTGGCTCTAAATTCGTTATTAAAAATCAGTGAAGTTGTTAGTCTCAAAGCGGATTATTCTAAAAGTTTCCGCTCATTAAAAGGAAAGGTTGGAAACTTGTTCACTCTTGCATTTCAAGAATTGAGAATCAAGTACTTTGCCTTGTCATTTTCTTTCTTTCCTGCCTCCGTGTCAACGCTGTTTTACATTTTATAGCTACGTTTTCTTCTTGTATCTCTGGGCGTTTGTTCAAAGTTTCTTGTAATCCTTTTCTCCGACCATGTCGGTTTTTCCTTTTCTATCGAAATTATACAAGCAACGAGAACCGTTCCTTTTTTATCCGAACGGTTGATGCGAACATCGCACTTAAAAATAGTCCGTTGCTATACATAAAAGAGAGGAACGATAACGGCTTAACAAAGAGAAGAAAAAGTTATTCCATTTCGCGGTGGTGGTAATCCGATGTGGAAAAGTTAGTCCCCGTTTTCCTGGCATCGTTTTGCGTCGCGTCGCGTAGCGTCGCGTAGCGGTTCCCTCTGTTTCGTTCGGAGTGACGGCGATGCAGAACGCACGGCGCGGCGCGGCGCGGCTTAACGTTCAGGAAATACCGGTTTCCTCGGTAGATTTTTCTGTATTTTTGTCTCCATTCACGGAACAACCACCTCGCTTTGATGCAAATTTTAACGTATTACTTGCCTCCGTTGGAAACGCGTTTGTCCCGCTTTAAACTCTATTTGTGTAAGATAGTAAAAGCGTCTTTGTATGATTTTCAGTAGAAATTATACTTTTTTCTCATTAAGCTTCGCGTAGAAATTACCTATGTTTGTAAGTAAATTTTCGGTAGTACAAGAGACATTATATTCAACAATGTTGAAAAACGAATCGTCGAAAACAATTAACGGGCTGAATGGTTTGAAAGTTTGAAAAGAAGTAGTCTCGCATTGAAAATCAACCGACAGGGAAAAGAGATTTCCTTTCTATCGATATCACAGTTCTCCCCTATTGTGCAAGGGTGCTTTCTTCGAGGCTCACGGGTGGAAAGGAAGACACGAAACGGTACGGCGCGGCGCGGCGCGTCGCGGCGGTAAATCGAGCGACTCGCAAACTGAAAAAGGCACGCTCGATTTCGCAAACGCTTTGCTTGGCTTTGCTCGCGTAATCGCACCTCCATTTCCGGAATTAGTCTCGTTGGCTCTTCTGGCCAGAAAAAAGTGCGTTCTCCACTGTTAAACGGTCAATTTTCTACTTGATACGCGACAACTTTTCGTTTTTAAAGCTTCAACGATTAGGACGCGTGGAACCAGATTCTCATTCGAGTTTCTCATCTCTAATCGTAACTCATCTCTGACTAAGGAGAATTAATTGAACGAAACACTGAATATGTAGATCGTAACGAAAAAGGCCGACCATAATTACTTACGGTAGGTATACGAATAATACTATACCCGTAATCGTTCAAATATTCGCTCAAATATTGCATCAGTTGTTTACTGTGCACTGTCATAATCCATTCGATGTTAGTTAGTTTTTTTTTTCAAACGTTGGACGGTGTCCCGTTTTAATGGATCGCTCTAATTTTCGGCAGGCACGCTGTAAATTGTACGCGGTTGGAATATTTATTCGATCGAGCCGCGAAACTAACCGGCAGAAAATGAAAGTCGCGCGTGTACTTTGCGTCGCGTGAACCTGGTTGGATGATTAAAAAATTCCAACGTTCCTGTGTTTCCTTCTGGCTGTACCGTACCGCGGTGCCGTAATTTTGTCATCCGTTGCTTTCCCGTCGTTGGGATTTATTCGCGAAAGGGAATTGAACGATGCGACGCGATTTTGGGATAGGGAGCCGAAATTAGACGATAATCGTGGAATTGTTTGAAAAACCGACAGAGAAACAAAATAAAATGTGTTTTTCTTTTTTTATAAAGGAAAAATTGCAAAAATACGTGAGAAAAATTTGTTAAAATACTCGCGTTCGAAAGATAATCTACGTCGCGTCGGTGTGCAATCAGGCCGTAAAGGACAAAAGATTCGTTTGAAAAGCGAGTGCAAGAACACGAAGAAGATTCTAGCGAGCAAGTTGAACGCGTAAAGCCAGGTCAAACGAGACAAAGCCAGACAGCAGCCTGAGGCGCATCCGGTGCTTTGAAACCGGAAGACCAGCTAAATAAGAAGGGCAGGAGGGTCGAAAGCCTGGTTGGATGTAATTCATGCGAAAAATTCAAGTAGATTACACGAGCTAAAGATGGTGACTCTGGTTAACACTGGCATCGCGACACTGATAATTCCCTGGAGAAGGAAGGAGATGCATCCACGACGAGGGTTACAAGTACATACGTGTACATACCTTGAATGTGAAATATAAAATTGCATATTCATACGGTCTGAAGGGACGTTCGGTCAAGCACTTATGGATACTTGCCGCTTTATCCGAGAAATCGAGTTGTAAAGAGGTGTATACGTATAGTTATATGTCAGCTACAAGTGGCAAAATCGTAAAATACATATACATATGTACATAGAACGGCCGAAGCTTAAACTGTGATGGAAATGATTGGCACAATAGCGGCAGAATGTTTTGCTAGAGATGGCACTTGAGGCGCAGATCGGGAAGAAAGAAAACGTTATCAGCGGCAATGTTATCGGCGGCAGGCTGGTTCGCTTTGAGAGCACTCGGTTTTTCGAAGAACCAAATCGCAAGGAGGACAGGAATAGGCGAAGAGGGAAGAAGGTCTCGAAAGGTGGCTGCTCCTGGCAGTACTCGTGCGGAATAAAGGGCCCTCGAAGGGCACTCGACCTCGATGTAACGACTTTGCACACGCTCGTAACTCGATATTGTGAAATCCTCTTATCGCGTGGCAGCAGCTGCGAGCACAAGGGCCATCGGAAACGCGGAAAGATCGAGAGCATCCTGTAATTCTAATTTCCCTGTCTGCCCTTCTCTCAAATTAAACCGATTTCCCTCTCTTCTGTTCTACGCACATTTTTCGGAATCTTTACCGTCAAGAAAATTCATTTGATCCAACTAGTTTCTTGCACTTGGCCCGATTACACATTGATCATGCCATTTTCACTATCCACAACCATTAGTATTTCACTCTTATTCTTAAAAGCTTCAATTTCTTTCTGGATTTTTTAACGGATCGTACGAGATTCCTGGAATAAATTATTTATTACCGTGGTGGCCAGCACGAAGCACGAAGCACGAAGCACGAAGCACGAAGCACGAAGCACGAAGCACGAACCATGAACCACGAACCACGAACCACGAACCACGACGAACGGGTGCATAACTTATGGGGGATGAAGATTCAGTCTAGGCACTCTCAAGTATTTTTCGATCCGTTCCTCTGCAGTTTTTCATCGTGCCACTGGAAAATGTATTCTTCTTACCACGAAGAAGGAAGAAAATAAAGAAAACACTTGGCTCGTCTAGAACGGGTTGAAGAAGATTTTCAAGAGGGTCTTAACGAGTTCCGAATAGAAAAGTTCTTCATCTTCAAGTGGTTTCATAGCGAATATGTACTCGTTCATCGTAATGAGCAACCATAAGAATTTCCAAAGATCATTAAACGCTTCTTTTTTTCTCGACAGCTCAAGAGAAGAAGCATAAACTGTAAACTGTCGAGTGGAACTTACCTACTTATTAACACGTTGCCTTTGCAGTTTTTCAACAATTTACCTACATTTTACGTTTGTAGTTGCAACAAATCTTATAAGATGTTTTCGCGAATACAAAGAAAGTGGGTGACGATGGTGAAACCGATCTTCCCTTACAAGCGTAATCGATCTAGTTTCAGTAACATCGTTAAAGACGGTAGGTGCAGGAGGTATCAAGCTATCATGGCGAGGAGTTGGCCGCCAGTTTCTTAATTCGTTACCAAGTTTCGCCAGCGTATTAACGGCGCTGGATTCGATTAGAAGACGCCTGTAGGATGCACGTCGAGCTATGAGCGTGATTTAATTTAATCAGCACGTAGTAGACGACCGGACCGCTGAAAGAGGAGGCGTTTGCCTCGCAACGGACGACTTGGCGAGACTGAACGCGTTTCGAGAGTCCTTTGATGGAAAAGAAGGGAGGCGAAACGCGAATTACAGGGTTAATAATTGATGGGAGGAAGGGTAAGGTACTTATACCCGAGGTAATTGGCAGTGGCGACGCGGCGCGTCGTGTTCGCTATAGATTTCGATCAGCAACAATTTCCGCAAGCTGTTTCCAAACGTACAGTTCGATCTAACGAATGATCAACGTGAATCAACGGATGATGAAAATTGATCTAATTCCTTCGGGTGCAACGGCACAGAGTGGACGGAAGCGCGAACGTGAACGTTCTACTTTTATCGCACGAGTGAGCGGTCTCGCTTATTTATCGATACCTCGTAAAAGAGCAACTGGCAAACTGCTCATAAACGAGCCTCCAATAAAACTGGCGAGCTCTCGCTAAACTCGTCGTTCCTTTTTCTATCCTAGCATCCCTCGAAGCGGATCGTTAGCCGGAAATTTCGAGGCTCTTGCACTCGTAAATTTACCCCATGAATTTTTACGACGCGTTGGATACGCGTCACGCTCGATCAGCGATCCGTGTAAACGGTGTAATCTACTCTTTCTCCTTTTTTAATTATCGCCTACTCATACTCGACCGCTTGTAATTCGACCGCGCAATTACTTATTTGGGAACGACGAGTACGAACCGATTCAGTTC